CTCTTTTTCTACTTATCCTGCAGAAAGTAAAAAGCATTTGTTAGTGCTGGTTTATTTTACTTATTCCAATTTTTCTTTTTCTTTTTTGTAAAACTGAAGTTAGTCTGGATGTAAATTTGCCTTCCTTCTACTTTTTATTTTTTATTATAAAATTATATATCTATTATAAACTGGGGATTCCACTTACCATTTCTGAGTCCTCTGAGATCTCTCCTGTCTTCCACCAGCTCAAACCAGCAGCCAACAGCTTTGAGGTTACTTCAGAAAGTGCTTAAAATATTCTACTATCCTAAATAATATTTAACATATCTTTAACATTCTAGGGTGCAGTACCAAGGTCACTGAAAGCATGGGAAATATCCAAATATTTCCTTCCCTTTTACAGTTGGAAACGATACCTGGTTTGGTTTGGGCTTTATTTGTGCTAATCATCAGCTCTTGATGGATATTTTGGGGTTCTTTTTGAGTAAAAATTGATGCAAAAATGTCATGTAATACCTAATCCTTCTTGGAATAATGCATCAAGTGCTCTCCTTTTTCCATCGGTTAAGGGATCAATGTTTTCCACGTTGTTCCTCATTAACAGATGAAGAATACACTCTCATACACTGACTTTATTTTGTGTGTGTGTTGCTCAGGCTTCTGATTCTGACAGCTCTCACTGCAATATTTTATAGCTTTTTCCCCATTTCCCTGCTCCCTGTTTGCTTTTTCCTCATTTCCCTGCTCCCTGTTTCTTTCATCCTGGGAGCAGTTAAGGCCCTGAGTTAACCAATCTCATCTTTCATCTTTTCATCTCCTCTGCTTTGGGGGAAAACACGGCTCTGCTGCACTTTCAAGGGGTGCAGTTTTAAGATTCTGCTGCTTTTAAAGTGGTAGGGAAAAAAAAAAAAAAGCAAATAATGACACTCCACGTCAGGTTTGGTGTATTTTTCGTTTAAATAATTGATCTAAGCAGAACTTTCTCTAACATAAACTAGATGAAGTCAAAACTTGTCCATGCCTTGTTCCAAATGGTCACTGCAGAGGCTTTTTTGAGAGGGTTAATAGGTGGCATGACAGATGGCATTAGAATTGAAATACCACTTTAAATGGTCATCACTGTGGATTTTAACAGTGTTTCTGGTGAGGTTTTGGTGATTTAGTTGTCAGCTTTCAGCATTTGTGTGACATATTTAATTTCCTGTTGGAGAACGACCTTACCTGTTACTTCAGTGACTGAACCCTGATTTTTGAGACCTGTGTTTCTGTTGTTTCTGCATCTATTTTAGTTCTGCAATCTTGCATTTTTATTTTATTTTTTCAGGAGAGAAAGCCTTTTCCAAAAGGCTTTGTGATCTGACTTGGTGGCACATTTTCTGTTTAATTATATTCAGATGCTTAAATTCATGATCTGTAGCACAGAAGGGCTTGAGAGAGCAGAATTTGGTGCACCAGCTGGGCACAAGAACACAAATTCTTGCTGAAGGGTGGTGGGGATTAGCAGGGTGATGATGCTGTGGATCACAGTGCTTAGTGAGTTATTGCTTTTTGGGTGGGGGCTCAATCTCCATTTCCTAGTTCTGGGCAACATCCAGCTTAATAATGGTGGATTTGGGAGCATGAAAATGTATTTGTAGCTGGGAAATTGAGTGGAGTATTTCACTGCTACGCTGCAAAAAGGGGAAAAAACCCCCAAATCCAGTAACAGCAGATCTCAGGTTGTAGCAAAGTTTTGTGGTGGGGGAGAAATGAGTGCTGTAGGTGAAATTCCAGCACTGTGCCTCACGAGTTCAAGAGGAATTGTGTTCTCCTTGCTGCCCAGGAATTAACCCTGAGCATTTAGATTATAGGGTGGAATTTCTTTCTCCCTGAAATTTTGGCTGTGCTGAAAATATTTTGCTGGGAGCTTCATTCTTTTATTTCAGCTACTCCTATAAAGCACCTCCAGAACAAGTCATTTGTGACTGCCATTAATCATTTACTACAGATCCTGTCTGCAGCCTCTGAGCTTCATAAAACAGACAGATCCTTGTCAGTAATCAATATTTGTAATATTTGTTAATATAAGTCTGTCGTTACTGACTCATCGTTTGAGATTAATTTGAGACAAAGCACTTTGTTATGGGACTGCTGATCATATTAGAAGCAAAACCAATAAAACCACTGAAAGCTGGATCCTTAACTTTGCTGGCACATTAAAATCAAAATGCATGGGCTTGGATCCTCATGTGGAACCTAACTATTAAGAAATAATAATGATGAGGCTTGACGCATTCCCAAATTGCAGAAAAGTCTTCATTAAGGAGCAGCAGCTGTTTATTTGCAGGAGCACATGGTCCAGTCAGCATGATAAGAACACTGTGGAGAGGGATCAGCAAGTTTGCTTTTACTGGAAAACACACATCTTTCTTCTCCACTCTAATGGGTCAGTATTAAAGAAGAGCTGGAGTTGGAGAATAATTAGTGATTTTCCATTTATTTTTCCTTTCCAGCATGCCTCAGGCTAGGGAGGTCAAATAGATGCTAAGAGAAAAAACTGCATCTGGAACTAGTCTGAAAATAAATACATATCCCATGAGTAGTGCTGTGTACAATTTGCTTAGCCTTGGAAAACTCAGTTTGTCTGCCACTTGATTGCCTGCTTCATCGAGGAAATCTGCTTAGCCTGTAGGATTCTGAAAGCTCTTTTTCTTCATCTTCAAAATGTGAGGGATGTGAATTAACCATTTCCCATTCCTTGTTTCTTTCAGCTTTCCCTTTCACATACCAGAGTCACATTACTCATCAGCTTCCTTTGGCTGGTTTGCAGCTAGGAGGTTTTTCAGTGAGCAGAGACAAGCTCTGGATTTCCCTGCTCTGTAACGAGACTACAACAGCCTGAAAATCTTATGGCAATGACATGAAATAACATCTGACTCTATCATGTCCTTCCTTGCGAGTCAGTGAGATGAATTTACAAATGTTGGATGCTTTCTAGGTAGAGGCATATCCTGTTGCACTCTGTGTGTCAATGTAATTGTATTTATTCCACCTGCTTTAATTCATTTGTAGTGCAGTCAGTGCTGTCACACCTTGGCACTGCACATCCAGCTATGAAATATGCATCTTGAGTAATTATTTCCATTCAAGAAGAGCTTGCCAAGTCCCTGGTTTTAAATGCCTTTCATCTGATATTGCAAATGAAACAGCCTTAAAAGTGTTTTTCCCTTTGCTTTGTCTAACAGTCCACAGGAGCCCACCTCTCCTCTTTACTAACACCACATTTCTACACTAATCTAAGGTGGAACTTGCTCAGCAGGAGGCTTTGAGCTTGCTTGGAAATAGGTGATGTGACTCCTTGGCTGGGTTTCCACTCTCTGCCCCCTGCATCTGCTGCTCAGGTGTAAATGGGAGCTCCAGATGTAAATGGAAACTCAGGGGTAAATGGGAGCTCAGATGTAAATGGAAGCTCAGGTGTAAAGGGAAGCTCCAGATGTAAATGGAACTCAGATATGATGGAAACTCCAGATGTAAATGGAAGCTCCAGATGTAAATGGAAGCTCCAGATGTAAATGGAAACTCAGATATCATGGAAGCTCAGGTACAATGGAAGCTCCAGATGTAAATGGAATGTCCAGATGTAAATGGAAGCTCAGAAGCACCAGGGTCAAGACTGGGCAGGGTTTTGAAGCTGACCTGGGGAGGAATAAGATCTGTAGACCCCTCAGACCTCCCTTTACCTGTAGCTCAGATTATGGGCCCCAGGGAAACTCACAAGTCCACAACAAATTAAATAGTTACAACAAATTAAATAGTCTCTTAAATATGATACAGGACATACCTAAACAAGGCATTCTTAATCAAGGTCTGCTGTCTTGACTTTGTGTAGATTCTATGTTGCATTTTTTAAACAGGGCTTATATTTTCTTCTGTAAAGTGTCTGGGATAAAACTCAGTTTATCTTTCACAAGCTCTTGCAGAGCTCAGCTGAAGCATAGTCCAGAGAGTAAAGCAATCTGTTCCAAAATTTCAGAATTCTCTCAAAGCAATCAAGGTTTTAATTTGGGTCGCTGGAAAAGCGTCATTGAAGAGTCACAGGTGGCTTAGCTGCCCTTACTGAAACACTGCAACAACTGCATTAGCTTGAAAGAGTGACTTTATTATTTTTAAAACTGCTAAGACCTTCTCAATATCAGCCACGTGTCACCTGGTGTGTATATTCCATTTTTATGATTGGGCAAATCCAAATACTTCCTCACTTTGGGCTAAAGAAGCTGCAAAACTCGGGACTCCTAGGTTTTAGCATCCTTATTAATTCAATTAATAATAATGTAATGCTTTTAAAATAGATTTCTGCGTTGCTTCAGTAGTTCATCCATCAGTTTATCAGGATATGGAATTAGTTCCAGTTTCTAAACACTCCAAACAGTTCCAAACTCTCTGCACAGGAGCACAGAGAGCACAAAAGCCACGAGCTGTGCCTTTGTGTGCTGGTTTCTGCTCCTCCTGCTGTACCTCCTATAGAATGGAAGTTCTTAGGTTCTGTAGGTTCCTAGACCTATACATAAGTGCTGCTTGTGGGAGAATTCAGCCTACTGGTAAAATTTCACCTTGCCTTGAGGTAATCTGGAAGAAACATGAAGATTTTTATGATAGGACTTGACAATTTCATTTGTGTCCTTTGCCACGTACCAGACAGCGCAGCGCTGCATGTCTGAGTGAGAAGGGCATGAGGAGTAACCTCACCCTCTGAACTTTCAAGCAGTTCAGCTTGCAAAATGTGTGGGTAAAAAAAGAAAAAGTTTCTTTTCTCTGAATCTCTGGAGACTGCATTAATGGGAGGCGCCTCTAATGGCCCAGCATCCCCCAGTCTTGTTGGGAGCCTCTTGTGCGACAAAAGCTTGCATTTATATTCATAATGAAGAATTTGAATTACCTACACTACCTTCCACTGAAGGTTTCTAAAAAGCACCAGATTTAAATAAAATAAAAGCACAAATTCCTCTGCTCCATTTCATTTTTAACTCCGTTCTTAACAGGTTCCAACTATGGGAGTCCCCGTCCGGCTCACGCCAACATGAACGCCAACGCGGCGGCGGGGCTGGCCCCGGAGCACATCCCCACGCCGGGGGCAGCCCTGTCCTGGCAGGCTGCCATCGATGCTGCCAGGCAGGCCAAGCTGATGGGCAGTGCTGGCAACGCCACCATTTCCACGGCCAGCTCCACGCAGAGGAAGAGGCAGCAGTACGGCAAGCAGAAGAAGCAGGGCAGCACCACGGCCACGCGCCCGCCGCGCGCGCTGCTGTGCCTGACGCTGAAGAATCCCATCCGGAGAGCGTGCATCAGCATCGTCGAATGGAAATATCCTTTGGTGCTCCTCCTGCTCTGCCTGGAGGGGGGTGGAGGGGTGGGTTTGCCAAGTTGAGTTGCTTGGATGAATTCATGGGGTTCAAACCAACGCCCCCGAAGAGACTGGAAATCGATGCCTGAGGTTGAAAGGCACGACTGGGGCGCTTCAAAATCCACAAATAATTTTTGGTGTCTTAACTGAGGTGGTTTATGCTGGAGTGGGGCACATCAGGAAAGAGGATTAGAGCTGAAAGCTGAACTCTACCCTTCTGTGAGGAACCACTGGAGGGTTGGGTGATAAAGCTCAAGTGGTTGAGTTCTGCTCTTTGGAAAAGGTGTGGCCCAGGCTGAAATAAATGCATGGGAGATATTCAAAGTATCTGGGGTCAGAACTGACCTGGCTCTATGGATATAGATATGGATATCTATCTGTCTGTCTATCTATTTATAGATAGATATATAGAGATATAGATAGAGAGAGATAGAGAGAGATAGAGATATATAGAGATTATATATAGATATAAATATATATTGATATCAATAGATAGATATGGATATATAGATATATATAGATATATATATATCTATATATAGTTTTAGATATAGATATAGATATGGATAGATAGATATAGATAGATATAGATATATATTGATATCAATAGATATGGATATATAGATATAGATAGATATAGATATAGATAGATAGATATAGATATATATATAAATATATAGATATAGATATAGATAGATAGATATGGATATACAGAGATATATAGATATATATTGATATCAATAGATAGGTATGGATATATAGATATATAGTTATAGTTATAGATATAGATGTAGATTTAGATATGTAGATATGTAGATATAGATATAGATATAGATATATAGATATAGATAGATAGATATGGATATATAGAGATATAGATATAGATATATATTGATATCAATAGATATATATCGATATCAATAGATAGATATGGATATATAGATATATATAGTTATAAATATAGATATAGATATAGATATAGGTATGTAGATATGTAGATATATAGACATATAGACATATAGATATATAGATAATAGACATATTGATATATAGATATATAGATAATAGACATATAGATATATAGATATATAGATATATAGATATATAGATATATAGATATATAGATATGGATAGATATAGATATATATCCATGTACATCCATGATATATAGATATATATCCATATATATGTGGATAGCAGCTGCTGGCTTTCCCCCTTTTTTTAAATTTTTATTGGTTTTTTAGAGGTGTCACCAGTGCAAAGCTCTGGTGCTTTGAATAATTTTTTGTTAGATGTGTGACATCACACTTTTTACAGCATGGAGAATAGAATGGGGCAGAAGGTAAAAAACAGAACAAGTTAAAAAAACCCCAAAGGTACTCAGTGAGACCCTGAGACTGGGCTGAGAACTGTCAATTATATTGGAAATCCAGTTAAAATAATAAGGCTCAGTCATGGTGAGGGATAATGGTTATCTAGAAGAAGAGAACAAGAAATACAGCTGAGATGTCCAAATGCAGAGCCAGATCTGATAGTCTGAACAAGAGACAGATGGATGACAAGCACTGACACAGAACTGCAGAGGGAAGGGGTCAGTGCTGCTTCCCTGGAAAGTCAGGGAGAGTCAGATCCTTGCTTTACTGTGTGCAAGGAGCAAAGCCCCTTTAGTCACCCCAGTCTGATCAGTGCAGGCTGGAATCTGAGTCTTTGGTGTGAAACTCAGACTGAAATGAAGTGTGTCTCCTCTGCATCCTCAAAATGAAGCCAGGATTAACCCCGAACAGCAATCACAAGCTAATGGGGCTCTTCGGGAAACACAAAAGAGAAAGAATGTTTTTAGGGATAGATAAGCATGTCAAGGGAAGGCAGTACAGAACTTGGCAGTAGTTAACATGATAAAAAAATGAATTAAGGCATTTAAGACAATGTGATAATATTATTCCTTTGGGTGTCTGGTGGGATGTTGGGTGAAAACAGAAAAGGAGTATATTAGGTATTGCTGACATGGACATACTTTTCAGATGAAGAACTTGTTAAAAATGCTCCTGTCAATCCTTCTGTGTCCTTAAACTACCTGCCTGCCTGTTCCTTCCTTCTTCAGATGCTAATTTTTAATCCCCTGATTAAGTTTGCTGCTTTTTATTGCTTCTGACATGAGTCTGATACTTTAAGCACAAGAAGATGGGTGATGACTAACAGGGTAAAACTGAGTTTAGGTTTTCTTAGCAGCACCCCAGTCACCACATGTCTTCAGAGAGACATTTGATAGGTGAATAAGATCAGCAATAAATGATTGGGAATGTTGTAAAGCAGGGTACAGCACTGCTGAGATCAAGAGATGACCAAACAGTGCAATTAAAGCAACACAAAGATGCTGAAGTTTGCAGTTTGGGGCTTTGTTTGGTTTTAGGTGAGTTGGTGGAAGCATTTTTATTTTCCATCAGAGCCCCTCACTGGACATTTAGAGTTTATAAACATGAAACACTTCAATGACAATGAGCAATATCAAAGGGTTGTGACAAGGTTTAGTTTAATTCTATATTCTGTCTAGTGACAAGGTTTAGTTTAATTCTATATTCTGTCTAGTGACAAGGTTTAGTTTAATTCTATATTTTGTCTCCTACTTGCTAAAAACTACTGAGAAAGGCTCAGCCTAATTTGTTGTACCACTAAAATTTAGGCATAATAGATATTAAATATCAAATGGTACTTCAGTGGTGTTTCTTGCCCAAATGTTACAGTGTTCAGAGCCTTGAACTGCATTCATGAAAAAGTGAAATGGAGTAATTACCTTATTTTGCAAAGATTTAGCTGTGTATTTAATTTTCTGCCTTTTGTGCAGTGTATTTGTAGGTTTTATAGAATTTAATGTTTACAGTGCAAAAAGAGAATGCAAATAAAAGATGTGTAAACAGTGATAAAGTAACAGATAATAATCCTGCCAGAACAAACAAACAAAAAAATAAATTTGGGGTGGGGGGAAGTGATTCAGAGAATCAAAGCCTATGGAAATCCAGGTTTTTTAAGCAGTAAATATTATATGAACAGCCTGGGGTAGTGCATACCTGAGAAGTCTCGTGTAGTCTTCCTCTCCTGACCTGCTCTTCTGCCTCTGTGGTACCATTTATCTCCTATCACTCAGAGGCTTAAGCAGAGCAGTCTGGTGAGTCTGGAACCCTCTGCCTGTTCCATATGTGAAATGCAGGATGGATGTGAGGATAAACAGCAGCCTGGCATTTGTGTACATCTTGCAGCTCAGCTTAGCACTCAGAGCTCTCCTGTGCTTTCTGCCCAGAGCAGCAGCCTGCTGACCACAATCACACCTGCTGTGCTGACATTTGGCAGTCCCAGGGCAGATAAAGTCATGCCCAAATGCACCCCGTGGCACAGGTTATGCTTGGCATTGTCCCTGCTCTGTCCTGCTCCTCATCCTCCCTCCAGAACCCGGGGGAGTTCTCCCAGGAGCATCTCCAGGAGATTCTTGCAGTAAATGCAGAACAGACCCTAAATGTGGTCTCTGGTGGGACTTTGGAGACACTTCACAGCAGCTGAGATCAGGGAGAACATTGAAATAGATAAAGTGCAGTGCCAGGAGGCTGGGCAGGAGGAAAATGCCCTTTGCTTCCAGTGGACAGCCAGGGGGGCACTGGGCTGGTGCAGGATTTCTTTGCTGAACATTCCAAAGGTTTGGTTTCTCTCTTGTCCCAGCAAAGCTGATGTGAGGTTGAAATTGCCTCTGAGCTGTTTCTCTGTCTCTCAGCTTCCTGCTGTCCCTAATAAACTGTGCAGGGACCTTTGTGCTCCCTCTGATGCCAAATGAAATGCAAATTAGAGAAAAAGAAAGCCTCCCTCAAATAATTTTTTCAGCAAAACAAGTATACATGGCAACGTGCAGCGTAAGCACATTTTGGACACTTTCTTTTTGCTTTAACAAAATTAATCCTTTTTAAAACATCTTCTAGCTATGTAGGCAGGTATTGCTTGAGCCCTCACATTTAACTCCAAGATATGAGAAACTGAGAAAGGAGAAGGGGCAAAAATACAGCAATGACAACAAAAGAAAAAAACCCCAAAAAAACCCAAAAATGTTTGTTAAAATTATCTGAGAATTTATAAATGCAGATGAGAACAACCAAGAAAAAAGAATCCTAAAAAGACAAGGGCAGTCATCATAGAGCAGGTTTCTCTTATTCAAACTAGTGCAGCCACACTCAGAGGAAAATTGGGAAAATGCAATCTAAATAAGTAAAAGGAGAAAAAACTTTTAAGAAATCTGTGTTTACTCTGGCACGCGACTGGCCTGCACTGCTTTTGACTTATTAGGAAGATTTTTGGCTGGGAGCTCCTAAAAGCACTTAAAAAGGCATATGTTTCTTTTCAGAATATAAGGGGCTTGGAATGCTTTCTTTAAACAAAATTCTTATAATTTATTTTTTTTTAAAAAAAATTTCTTTTTCTTTTTGTGCACTCATTTTGGAAAAATTTCCTTAACTCCATTCCTCAGACCATTTGAAATAATTATTTTACTGACTATTTTTGCCAATTGTGTGGCCTTAGCTATCTATATCCCCTTTCCAGAAGATGATTCCAATGCCACCAATTCCAATCTGGTAAGTGCTCCATGGAGTTTAGTCTTGCTATTTTGAAAGTCCTTTTGAAAAGCCATTGTGGAGACTTGTGAAGGTGGGGAATGTGAAAAACAAAGAGTAGAACATCATAAAAATTGGTTTTGTTTGCTGTGTCTTGTCAATTTATTTTACTCTCTGTTTCAATGGAGCTGGTTTTGGAGAAGAATATCCCACAAAGGTGTTGTAGGTGGTGTTTGGGTCAGCAAATTTCAGCATGCTGCAAAAAGCTGCTGGTGAATTTGAACCTGCAGCTATTTGGGGGAGATATCCTTTTTTACTCAGGGATTGTCTGGTGGTTTTTGTCTTGTGCCATTGTGAAGTTGGTGCTGTTCTCCTCTGGAGTGATTGATGATTAATTTGTGCTTGCATTTCAGACACCTGCATTGGTTTGGCTGAACAGCATTTGTGGGCTTGGGGTTTTTTGTTTGGTTTGGCTTTTTAAATATTTTTATTTGTTTGTTATTTTTAATTATTCCCTCTTGTTGGGGGAATATAGCTTTTCTTCTGTCACCACTGATGCTGATGTTGGTACTTTTGGGGTTGAGCAGTCCATATTAAAAGGAAGAGTGTTTACTTTTGGCTTAGCTTGAAGCCATAGCAAAGAATTCTGTTCAGTGAGGGCAAAACTCAAACCAGCTCTGGAACGCAGTTCCCTGAATTAGCAGAAAACATTTTTGGATTTTTTTTTTTTTCCTCTCAAATATGTGAATAAATCTCCTACTTGTCATGTTGAATCAGGATGAAAACTCACTCCCAGAGTTTAGGAGCAGGGATGCTATTTCCTGAATAGAATTTATTGAGACTTAAGAAATTTTAGAGCAACAGAGGAGGAAAACAAAAGCCATAGTTCTAAAGTAGCGACAACTGGGATGGCTGACAGACATTGTAATTAAAAAGATTCATGCTGCTCTTGGAAGTCAGTCATCTGATTAAATCTCTCTTGAAGTTTTAGAAAACACATTGCAAACTTCAGGAATTGCTGAAACAATACTTCTGTGCTTAAAAAAAAATAGAAAGTAGTAAAAATTTGGACTGTAACTCCCTAAAGAAGTATAAAAAGAGGAGCAGGAGGTGGTAAGTGATTGGTAACTAATCTCTACACATGAGTTGGTTTTGTGGTCTCTTTGTTAGTGTGACTTGGTGTTTAACAAAGATGAGTTGTGGTGTGTATACTCAAAATACTTGACTAGGGCACCTCTCAAAAATGACTGTATTTTATTTAATAACATAAAATTCAGTCCATCTCCTGGTGAGGAAAACAGGTATGTTTGCTGTATGGCCTGACTTGCAAGGGTTCAAAGAGGAAAATGAAGCAGATTTGAAGGTCAGAGGACTCAAAAGAGGAAAATGAAGCAGATTTGAAGGTCAGAGGACTCAAAAGAGGAAAATGAAGCAGGTTTGAAGGTTGGAGGACTCACAATTTGAGTTTAATTGGGTTGTGGCTGTTTGCCTCGATTCAGAGAGGCTGGAAGTATGTTTGTACTTGAATGAGATGTATTGAAACTGTTCTGCTATCAAGAAATATGTGCACCTTGTGATTTGAGTTTCCATTCTGCATCTGTTTTCCAAGATACCTTTGCACCATTTAGAATGTCTATAAAACCACTTGTGTTATCTGTGGGTAAAGTTTAAAAAAAACCTAGCCAAGCAAGAGCTGTCATCTCAGGCAAGTTTGGAAATGTTACAGCCTTGAGGATGAGGAGGAATTGTTAATTTATCTAAATAGTAGGGGAAGAAGAAAGTGAAATGAGTAATCTGCTTGACTCCACTTTGTGTCTTGATGATTAAAATAATTAAAACTGGAAAATGGGATGCTTGGTGTGGACTCTTCTATGTTATGGACCAAACTCTGGAGCTCTGGCTGCTCAGTGGGCTGTGATCTCCTGCTGCTCTGTGTTTGCTGCTGTTGGGTTTTGTGTGTTTTGTTGCTGTTTTCTCAGTTTACACACTCATCCTTTGGTGTGTGTGCACTGCTGGGGAGGAGCACACTATCTGAATATGCTGAATTCTGTGGGGAAAGTCCTGAGCCAGAGGGGGCAAAGGGCTGAGATCAGGGTGAAAAAATGTGTTAGTTGTGTTTGGGAATGGGATGGAGGAACAGATGAGAGTAAAAGAGAAGTTATCCCATCAGGCAGGAGCTTTGCTGGAGTGGGACCTTCCTGTCAAAGAGCCAAACTGTGCATGGAAGAGATGGAAAGAAGCTGGGATTAATAACATATTAATAATATGTTAATAATATATTAATAATATGTTAATAATAGGTTCCTGTAAAAGCTCACATACTCACTTCATCTTTGAATCTTTTTCTACCTGTGAGCATCTATTTCAAGAAATAAATCAGATTTATTTTGTAGCCATGAGGGCTGCAAGGGCAGTAATGTGACACAGGCCAGTTTTTGTGTGCAGTGTGTGCATGTGGGTCATGCACAGGGGTGTGTGCTGTGCAGAAGGGTGACTGAGTGCACACTGAATTCTTCTGAATTCTTGATTGGTTTTCATGCTGCAGTTTAGCTGTTTTAGGGTTAAAGCTACCACAGAAACTCCCACATCCCTAAGACATCTCTAACTTCTTGAGGTGCAAGGAACCATCTACAGAAAACACAAACTGTTTTACGAGCTCTGAAAGTGCCATCTTTGCCAACAAGCTGCCAGATTTGCCTTGGGCTCTGAGTATTCCTTCTCCAAAGTCTCATCATAACTTCTCAAATAATGTTTCCTTGGTGACTGAGGTTAAAATTCAGCCAATTGCCTTCAACAGGCAATAATGGAGTAGAGGGTGGTGAGGGAAGAGAAAGGAATCCTGGATTATGTGGGTGCCTTCTTTCCTTCTCCCTGTAAAATGAGAAAAATGATGCCTAAATGATGCTTTGGCAAACAACTGCTCTGTGTGAATTTGGTACAGAAAAGTCCAGTAAATAATTCCTTCCCCTTTGCTGTAGCCAGGAATTGTGAACAGCTGCTGTGTGGTACAAGTTTAGGTTTAACACCACATAGATATTCTGCCTGATCCTCTGCAATCTCTTCCTATAATAATAATTCCTATAAATTTTCAGGCCTTTTTCATCAAGCCTAGGGATGGTAACTTGGACTGCAAAGCCCTTTCAGTTTGGAAATGAACATTTATGCTAAACCCCAAATTTCCTATTTTTATGCTCACTGCATTGTCTTTGCCATTGGCTTTAAGAAATATGCCAGAGTGGTGTAATGTACTCATAAAAAAATGCTTGAAATTGGCTTTGGCAGTTTTTATGTGTTACTTTTGCAGTACCACAGGAAAGCTATTGTTACTGGAAAGTACTGGAAAACTATTGAACTTACCCAAATGGAGGGCAATTTTATTAGGGGCAGTTCTTTCCCCCCCCCCCCTTTTTTTTTTTTGTATTAATGAACCTGCTGAGCCTTAATTTAAATTTACAAATAATGTAAGCTCATGTGTAACCCTGCCCAAAGAACAGCTGTGTGTTAATGCAATCAGAAAAATTGAAGCTGGTTTGGGGGGGAATTAAAGTCAGCCTGCATCAGAGGCTGTGACTGATACGGAGGCTTTCTGCTTGTTATCCCTGCAATTATGCATTAGGACAGAGATAACACACAATTAGGAATAAAAATCTGGACTGCCTAAGATAGGAAGCTGGGAGGAAAATGCTTCTGTCACTTTACTGGCAGCTGTAAATGGCATGAGCCTGGTCAGTGTCACAGCATGGTGATAACATAATGAGGTTAAGACCAAGGTTTACAACACCTTCCAGGGAAGGCAGCTCTGTTGGTTGTTTATGCTTTGGATAAAGAAATCTTCCTTCTGTTGTTTTGATAGTTCTGCTTTCCCTTCCTTGTCCTTCTTGAAGGAAGGAAATGCTGTTGTACACGAGTTAAATGTAAAGAAAAATCTCTTGTGCTTATATGTGAGCTTGTAATGGGATATCACCTTTGGACTAAACCTCAAATGGGACCCCATGAAAAGAAAGATGGGATTTCTGCTTGCTTGTGTCTGCCCATGGGAAGGGGGCTTGTCCTTCAGGAATCTTGGCTGTCTCATCACCTGCTCCTTATGGGAGTGTCCTGTAGAGCAGGGGATTCCTTAAAAAAAGAGGAAGTTACTTCAAATTATTTTTTTTCTGCCATTTTAAGGAGACTGACACAATAGGCATGGATGTGACTATCTATTACATTTCTATATAGTGGAATAGAAAATCTCAGCTGTTGAATCAGAGGATTCTGGAGTCAGAACTCAGAACAGGCTCAGCTTTTCTCGTGTGAAATCCGAAAGCGTTAGAGAGCAAAGTCTCTAACCAGGGGGGTTAGAAAAGAAAGGACCAGGGGGTCTGGAAAAGAAAGGATGGCTTTTCTGGCTGAGGGTGAGGAAAAAGGACACTGCAGAAAAGCTTTTGGATCTGTGGCATCCCTGCTCTCACCCTCCTGTGTGCCAGCTCCCCGCTAGTGGCTGTGTAGGGGAGTGAGGGATGGAGCGCACACCCAGCTAATGAGCTCTGATGGGTTTATTACCTTGGGCATGGTGCCAGCCCTGCTGCAGCTGGGACAGCTCACACTGAGAGTTTGAGGAACCAGGACTGAGCGACAGAAGCTGGAAGAACGCTGCTGAGGCGGCTGCAAAGCCACTGGAGTCAGAGTGAGGAGAGAGGAAACGGTGCCAAAAAAAAGTCCTGGAGGGTTTCTTCCAGAAAGATTGTGAATCACTCTGTGATTCTGAGGAGGCTGAAGATAATGGAATTTAGGCTCAACATTTCCCAAAGTTCTCAGAAACCCTGCTTCTGACAGGGAGGAGCTCAGCATCCCTAGCTGCAGGGAAGCACAAGGGTGGAAGAATAAGCATTGGGTCTGGGACATTCAACTTGTGTGCTGGCCCTGGAATTGAAAAGCTGTGTGGCCTTGGGTAAATTGCCATCCCAATTTTTCCATCACACCATTACATGAAATGTAATCACATTTCATTACATGAAATGCTGTAGAAAAGACTGTAAGGG